TGCAATTTTGAAGTAAGTATTATCTACTGCCAATAAAATTAAATCGAGAATTAGAAAAAAAATTAATCAAATAAAATAAAAATTTATAAATTGAATTAACAATTATAATATTCTTTGCCATATATATAAAATATTTATAGAATGATAAATTTCAATAAATTACTTTTAAAATTAATATTTCATAAATTATAGTATTATAAATTATATATACATTAATAAATGATAAAATTAATTAAATATTAATAAAATATTAAAAATTATAACATTTAAATATTTTATATTTTAAAATAGTCTCTTATTCGTACATCTACTTTTTCTTGCTGAATTATATTTATCAATTAATTAATTTTTGAAAATATGTTTTCAAAAGTACTCAATAGATGACCTTCATTCTTATTTTATTTTATATTGTTTTCGAAAAGATATCTTTAATACTCAAGAGATGGTGCTGATTTCATAATTTTTATCTGTTATTATTCTTTTTTTATCTTACGACATATTTTATAACAAATTGTTTTTTTTCTTGTATGTAATTTTATATTGAAATTTAATTTCAATTCATTATCATTTTTATTAATAATAATTTATTAATTCAATATAATAATTTACAAAAAAATATTTTTATTTTTAAGTTTATTAATTTTAAAAATGATTTAATATTTCTAATAAATACATTTTTGATTTTACATTCTTTAACTATAAAGCTTATTTAATTATAAAATAATTAATTTATTTTATATATATAATTTATTTTTAGACATTACTGTAGCAATAACATTACCATAATTGGCATATATTTTATTTGACACATTCAATTGTCTCAATTGTACATTTATAAATGTACTTTTGTACATTTTTTTAATTATAAATGATTATTGATAATGATGATAATTATAAATAAGAAAATAAATTCTTCTTAATTATAAATTATAATTTAATAATTTTACTGAGGTATTCTGTTTCTAAGATATGCAAGAATTTCTTCTGTAGATTTCATTAGAATTGCTTGTCTAGGTTGTTTAAAACAATTTCCAGATAAAGATAGATTCCTATAAAAATTCAATAATATAAAATATTAAATATAATTTATTTATTTTTAATTTTACCTTAATTTTTATTTTTACCTTAGATTTTTTAAATTACCAAGTTCTGGTGGTATATATCCAATATTATTATTAGCAAGATTTAATATTGTAAGTTTTTGTAATTTTTGTAGAGATAATATATCAATATTAGTAATTAAATTGTCATTTGCTATTAATATTTCTAGAGAATTTACATCATAAATTGATTCTGGTATTTCTTTATACCTGTATAACATATCAATAAATTTTAATAAGATTTTATGTTTATATAACTATATATTTTTCATTGATACATTGATATTATTATATATCTTACATATATATTATTAATATTATACATTATTAATAATATATGTTATTATACAATACTATATACAATTATAAGTAATACCTGTTAAATGAAATATTAAGTTCTTGTAAATATTTAAGCAAGCCAATGTTGGAAGGAAGTGATTCTAAATAATTTTTGCTTAAATCTAAAATTTGTAGATACTTATATTTTTCACAAATCCATTCTGGTATATGTGTTAGTTGATTAGATGTCAATTTTAAATCAGCAACTTTTGTAATTATATGTAATTCATCAGGTAATGTAGAGAAGTTATTTCTACTTAAATCCACAGTACCTACATCAGCTTTACATGCATTTTCCAAAACTTCTTGTGGTATTTCAGTAAGATTTTGTCCAGCCAAACTCAACAATTTTGTACTCTGCATGGTATATCTAAAATTCATATTATTTAGAAATAATTTACTATATTAATAATAAATATTCAAACAATTAAGTTTAAATAATTAATTTTTATATATCTATCTGGATAATTTATATACCTATCTGGATAAATATTTGTACTAGTATTTAATGTTACATATCTTTTGGAATCTAAGTTTGTACTTTTAAGACTTTGTTGTATATGTTTTAAAATTTGAGATGTACCACATCGTATTATATCTGTTCTAATATTTTTTACATCATTTCCATCAATCATAAGTTGTTTTATATTAGGCATTAAACCAATATGTTCTGGAATTCTATAAAACAAAGAATATTATTTTGAAAATATTACATTATAACAGAATAATAATGTATAGAAAATAACATACAGAGTTATTTTGTTGTGTGATAAATCAAAAATTTCTAGATACACCAATTTTATTATTTCCTCTGGTATAGATTCAATTTGATTATTTCCTAATGTCAATGTTTTTAATTGCCCTACACCTTCTAAACAAGACATATCAATTTCCTATAAATTATATAAAATTTTATTATATACATATAACTTTATTATATGTAAAATATTATTATTAATATAAATTATTACAGTATATAAATAAATATTTTTTATCAAAGATTATAGAATATATATTTTTATATTTATATAGTTATATTAAATGCACAAAATATTTTTTTATACATATAATTCAAACATATAAATTATTTATTTCTCTATAAATAATCACTATCATATATGCTTAAATTAGCATATAAGTACGTACAGTAATGTTATTATCAGCCAAATGTAGTATTCTTAATTGTATACAACCAGACATATCAGGAAATGTTGTTAATTTATTTGTTTGCAACATCACTGTTTCTACCTTCCTTAATTCACCCAGAGGTGGCAACATTTCCAAGTTATTATAACTTGCATTTAACTTTTGTAATGCTATTTTTAAAAAATATGTGTAGATTTTATTACATTTTTATGTTATAGAGGAAGAAACAGTGTGAAACTGTTTATTTGTTGTAGCTGATGTAATATGTTAAAAATAATAAAAAATAATAATATAATAAATAAAAAATATAATAATAATATATATATATTATTTTATATTATTATTTTATTATATTTATTATATTTTATATTATTATTATATATAATAATAATATAATAATAAAAAATAATAAATATAATAAAAAAAAACAAATTAAATAAAACAAAAAGAAATATATGTTTATTTATTCTTTGTAAATTACTGTAAATCATACCTCTCATATTTGTTAAATCAGGTGGTAACTCTTTTAACATATTATGATTTATATCCAAAGAAATAAGTCGAACTAAATATCCCATTCCAATTGGTAATTCAGTCAAATTATTGTATGATAAGTCCTAAATATATGCAATATTTCAAAAAATTATATAAAATTATTTTAAAAATATAAAAATAATTACCAAGTAAGTTAACATTATGAAATCACCAAATGCTGGATCAAGCTGTTTTATATTATTATTTTTTAAGCTTAATTGATGCAATTCAGTTAGTTTATAAAATTCATGTGGTAATTTTTCTAATTTATTATTTGATAAATTTAGTATTTCTAACTTTTTTAAATTTCCTATTTCAACTGGCAAATCTTCCAATATATTATTGTGCAACTATAAAAATTATAGAAATTTATTATATAATTTTTCATATGCAATTTTTTCATGAATAAAATTAAAACTATACTTACATATAATGTAGTTAATTCTGTCAAACATTCTACTTTTGAATCAATTGCCTTTAAACTGTTACAACTTAAATCCAATATTTTGAGAGGTTCTTGTTCCCACCATCGTTCATTATCATGAATATAATCAAGTTCAACATGTAAATTCCTTATTTCTTCTTCAGTTAAATCATTTATAGTCCATACTCTATTAGGTACTATAATAAGTTTCATTGATCATAATATGTTATATATTACATTAGTCTATATATAACATAACATATAAAATATAATATGTTTACAAGAATGACTTACCTTAATGCATATATGTGATAATCTTGTAAGATAATCTTAAACATTGTTTGCTTTATTGCATTATTCACAATATCTAACATGCAAAGCTATGAATCAAAATGAAAAACACAGAGTTCATAACTAAAACTGAGTTACATATTGAATGAAATAAAATTTGATATATACTATTTTTATTTTATTATAATTTAGATTACGTGCTTTGCTTGATAAATGAAAGTGCAAAAATAAAAAACATTTCAAAAATAAATAATTTTTATGTTTCTGAGAATAATGAAATTAAAAAATACAATGCAACTAAAAAGCATAAAGCTGATGTGTATACATTTATTAAATTAATGTAATTAATTTTTATGATAGATATATATGGATAATTTATGGATAAAATATATAAAATTCGTAATAAAATAATATTATATATATTTAATAAAAGTATAATATACTTATATTATAAATTATTTTTAATAAAAAAAAATAATAAATTATAAAAATTGTAATGTAATATGAATATGAACAATCATGCATATTAATTTATTTATACTATAGCATTGTGATAATAAGCATTTGAAAATGAAATTTAAATAATATTCATTTCATTTTGATATAATGCGAATACCCGTGAATAATCCTCTCGAAGAGAGATTTAAATTTCCATTTTTTCTAGCAGATATAATAATAACCTCTGACAATTCAGCATTATCGTCATTTTTTGTTCGTTTTTTAAACACTGCAGAATGATAAACCTTTTTCTTCATGTCACTCATATTGTACTTATTTCGCGCATTGTTTATAAATTAATATCCTCGATACGGAATGATTTAATGATAAATGTTCCCCCACTTTGAATATGACATAAGACTATAAAGATATACACAATATATGATAATTATTTATATACATATCTAAAAAATAGTCAAATTAAGCAAATTAGTTGAGTGAATTGATCAATTTTGGATTTATCATATATGTTATATTTATTTTATTTGAAATAATAATGAAAACAGAAATAAATACATGTGTTTTGATTAATTGATGCTGAGTAAAATTTTGATTACATATTCGAATATTATAACAATAATCATAATTATAAATAATTATTATTAATGAATAAACGAAACTAAAAAATTTAATAATTATGTAAAAAATATTTATAGGAACTTTATCATAAAATGTTGTCTTTATTTAAATGATATCATATGAGAGCATGGGGGCGGAATCGGCAGTTTCGATCCATTTATGTGGGAGTGTGGGAACAAGTGCAAAGTCGAAATAGTAGTTTCTTAATAATAAAAAAAAGATTTTTATTATAATCTAAACAGTACAAAAGTTTTAATTATTTAAAACCGTTATAAAAATTTTTAAACCTTAGTAACCTTAAGTAATATACTCGATGCAATAAAAAAATTTTTAAATTATTGTTATCATTATTTTTAGAGTATAATTTTTAAATATTAAATTATTTAATAAAATATTAATTATTTGTTAATATGAATATGATTTCATTGAACTTTGTCATGTTAAAGAAATATATCCTTTTATTTATATTTATGCTGAGTCAAGTTAATAGTGAAGAAGATCATTTATATAGTGTACAGTATACTAAAGATAATTTTTCAACAGAAATTCAAAAGAAAAATCATCTTGTCATGTTTTATGCACCTTGGTATGTTTTTTTTTTTATTTTTTTAAGAGATATATACTCATATATATTTATAAATTTATTGTATTAATAAATTTTTTATTTTGTTAGGTGTGGTCATTGTCAAAGACTGGAACCTATTTGGGAACAAATAGCTAAAATGTCATATAATGAAGATAGTAATGTAAAAATTGCTAAAGTAGATTGTACTACAGATAGTAATTTATGTGCAGAACATGATGTTACTGGTTATCCTACGTGTGTATGATATAAATTTATGAAATAAAATATTTATGATATCAATTGTATAATAACAATATAATTATTTATTTATAAAAATATAAAATGAACTTTAGCATTTTTAATTTTTAATTTTTAATTTTAGATTGAAATTCTTTAAAGCTGGAGAAGCTAAAGGTATTAAGTTTAAAGGTACAAGAGACTTAATATCTTTAATATCTTTTCTTACTGATCATTTAGGTATTACTTTTGGGGTAATTATCAAAAACATTTTTATTATCTTATAGAACTTAATATTTAATTAATTGAAATTTAACTTTTTTAAATTTTCTAAATTAGAGTGAAAATATTATACCATCACCTCCTGAAGCAGTAAATGGTTTATTAGAATTAACAGAAGATAATTTTGATAAACATGTGTCTAGTGGTTATCATTTTGTAAAATTTTATGCACCTTGGTGTGGCCATTGTCAAAAATTAGCTCCTACTTGGGAAGAATTAGCTAATAGTTTACGTAATGATAATTATGTTAGCATTTCTAAAGTAGATTGTACTCAGCATCGTAGTGTTTGTGGACAATTTGATATAAAAGGATATCCAACTCTGCTTTGGATTGAAGATGGAAAGAAGGTATAAAATTTAAATATTATTTTTATTTTTCTATTTTAAAATTTTTCTTTTCAAAGATTTAATTAATTAATTTCAATAATATTTGGTATATAGGTAGATAAATATACTGGACAACGTACTCATGAAGAATTAAAAGCTTATGTATCAAAAATGCTTGAAAAAGAAAATGACCAAATGGATACTAAGACTGATAATTCAGATAGTACAACTCATGCTGTACTTAGTTTAACTGGTGAAAGTTTTAAACATGGTATCGAAAACGGTATTTCGTTCGTTAAATTTTTCGCACCTTGGTGTGGGCATTGTAAACGTTTAGCGCCTATTTGGAAAGATCTGGGGAAGAAATTTTTGACAAATGAAAATGTGAAAATAGTCAAAGTAGATTGTACTCTTGATATAAGTAAAGAATTGTGTAATGAACAAGAAGTAGATGGTTTTCCAACATTATATTTATATCGTGACGGACTTAAAGTTTCCGAGTATAATGGTGCTCGAAATTTGGACGATCTTTACGAATTTATAATGACCTATGTACAGCCACATGATGAATTATAATTATACTTATTTTTTTTGTAATTTAATTTTAAAGCAATAATTTAAGCTGGATATAATTAAGTTTTGGATATAATAGCGTATGTAATATTTAATTTAATTATATATAAATGTAAGAAATATCGCATAAAAATTCTTAAATATCCAAATCATATATTTTTTGTTTTTATTTTATATAAAAAATATTTTTGTGTAAACGAATCGTGTACTTCCAAGATATATGTATAAAATTTGTGTTTGATGTGTTTCAATCAAGCATTAATCATTAAAAAATTTTGAATATAATAATTTTGTATATTATTATTGTATATATTAAATAGTCGTAGGATAAAATGAGCGTAACCATTGTCCGCGTTCTTTATCTAAGTATAATGTTTTGCGTTTTACGATTATTTCTCGTTCAAGATCGCTTCTTGCTTTTGTTAAACCTGCTAAAGTTTCTTCGGCTACTTTTAATTCTGCCAGCATAGCTGATGTACGTTCATTAAGTAATTTCACCTCTTCTAACAAACTGAATGGAACATGTTAAAATAAATATGTTTTGTATAAAATCATATCAGCGTAATTATATATATAGTGTATGATAATAATGTATTGATAAGATACTTACGCAAATTGAGGAGTATCACGACAACTTTCTACATTGCGTCGTTGTAATCTATTCGCTAATCGTGTTTGTGCTACTTTCATTACGCAATCCATTCCTCTCGTTGAATGACGAAGCTCCTCTATCTGTACTTCAGTGTTTGCAAGTTCGTGCAAACACTTAAAAAATTTTTATTTTTATAATACTATAATTCCACTTCATGAATTATGAAAATTGAGAAAATTGAACTTACGCGAAGTAATTCTTTCTCTAATTGTAAACGGACATCTTCCGTAAGTTTAATCTTTTTACTTAAAACCAAATCTACGCGAGTAGCTTGATTTCGAAGATCTTTAATAGCATTTTTATATATAGAGTCTAAAGTGGATCTTAAATTCACAGATCTTTGCCTGGCCGCTTCTGCTTCGGACAGAGTTTCTCGTGTATAATGTTCATAACTCGCAGGCGATGATTGCCTAATGAAAAACAATTAATCGAATTTATATAATTTACAAAATATAATTTAAATTTATATATAAATTATTTTAAAAATTAATTTCAATTATATACTCTGCTGGAACTCTTGTAGATCCAAGCTTCCACATTATGATATGAGAATCATTTGTCAATTTTATGTTTTCAGCATCAATAGTATAACTGTCAGTTTTGTCAGTCCAATCCATTTCCATCCTTGCTTTTGCAGTCTTTAATTCGGTTAGTTGCATTTCTATGTGTTCTCGAGTTCTAACAAGCAAATCACGTATCTCTGAACAAAGCGCTACCTCCTGTAATAATTAATAATTAATAATAATAATAATGAGAAATATTAATTAATAATAACGAAGCGATATTAACTTTTGTAAGTTCCGTTTCAACTTCATCTCGGATAAGATCAGAATCCAATCGTCTAGATCGCAATTCTAAAAATTCACCGGCTATAGATTCTGGAACCGTGAGGAGCGACAAAGAATGTTTTACATGTCGATATTCAGATTGCAATAATTCTATTTCTTTTGTAATCTCAAGTATTAAATGTTCCAGTTCGGTTTTCCAACGATGTACTTCATTTGCACGATTTTTTAAATATTCCATTGATTCCAATTGTATTTTATCTGCTTCTTTGTAAGATCGCTCGACACATCTTTTTGCATTGCTTATAGCACGGCTATATTATAATATGTAATGATTTAATTATTATTGTATATTTAACTTAAAAAATTATTGAAATTTATTTACATACAGAGCTTCATTAATCTTTTCATTCGATTGTTTAAAAAATTTCAAGTTATTACTTCTCCACTGAGATTCTCCAGAGTTGGTTATAGAATATCGATCAGCGACTGGTCTGATTCCTGTTAAACCATCTTGAGAAGTGTATGTTACACGACCTGTTGCCCATGGACCGATCGGTTCCATTTGTTCTTCAGGTTGTACCGGAAGCTCATTTCCAGGTTGAGGCAAATAAAGTGGTTCATCAACTTTGGTATAGTCCAATTGTGGACAAGGCTATTAGAAAAATTTAAAAAATAATTTAATATAAATTTCTGAAACTGAATTTATAAATATTTATGGTTAAAAGTTATTTAAAGTTAAAAGTTAAAAAAATTGTTATTTTAAATTTACCATTTCCTTATCTCCACCAGCATCTTGATGATTATTCATATTATTCATATTAAATGTTTTTTCAATAAATTATTACAGAAAACTAAATTTAGTAGGTCTTATTTATTACAATAACTTCTTATTTTTCAAACTGAATAAAAATAAATTTCGATTCTTATTACGAATGATTTTTTATAACACAGTACATTACTATTTGCTTCAAGAGAATCAAGGAGACAAAATTTATTGATTTAATAATTCACAACAACGAAATATTTTTTCTTACTTAATAATTGTATATCTACCGCTAATGATTTAATAAAAATGATATATTGTGTTAATAGAATTGAAAAATAATTGAAGGCACACATATATAATTATAATGCATATATTTTTTTATTTATATTATAGATATTAATTTTTATGAATATTTCTATTAAAAAATATTTTGAAGTTTAAGTTTATTAATTTAAATAATATAATTATTCAATTATTATTAAGAAAAAAATATAAAAATATATTTTTACAGTTGAATATATCTATATGAGATAATGATACAAATCAAGATATGATTACATCAAATTGTTCTCAAATCGCATCTCAAATAGCTAGTGTAACCTCATTCAAATCGTTTTTATTAATAACTTTATAAACTTTTTTTATTAATTCTTTAAAAATGTAACACAAAAGTATTTATTTACAAAAGAGATTATGAAAAGATAAATGAACGATTGTTTAAAAATAAAAATATGTAAGTATAAATTTTTGTTACAAAATAAAATTATTTTTTATATGTATTTTTAAATATTTAATTTATATGAAAATAAATGATATATAATTAAAAAATTACTGAAAAATTACAGAAAAGTAAATGGTAGAATAATTAAATTTTATCTTATCAAGAGTTGTTTCAGATATAAATAGCTAGACATATGTTTATTCATTTATTGAAGACATTACATTCATGAAGATGAATCGCAAAATTGATATTAAATATACTCAGGTAAATATATACTTTTTAATTTCAATATAATAATAATAATAGTAATATAATATAATAATAATAATAATAATAATAATAATAATAATAATAATAATAATAATAATAAT